CGTTCCGTCGGAATACAAGATAGCCCGAAGGGGTGTTAAGGAGCCATCGGAAGACACCTTCATTTAAGGTTGTGAATCCATTAGAGCCTTTTATGTCTTGATACGTCATTATGTATCCACCACCCTCAAAGTCAGGAAAACAATGGTAAACATGATAATTGAGGTCCCTTGACAATATTCTCCGGACCAATACTATGTACCAGCCCTCCCACTTGGTAGCCTCAAGTCGCTCCACGAGAGGGATGAAAGCGTGGCCAGGTGCAGGCACCGTCGTCATCAAAGATGGGCAATAAAACACGTACCAGGACACCAAATAGGTATACGACATTAGTACGCGTGGGATGGGAGTCTTTAAAATCTTTTTCTCATCTGAGCCCGTCTCTTTAACCCAAAAGAAAATTTGATGCCAACTCTTTCAAGCCACTCTACAAATAGCATATCATTGTAGAGAGTGAATTCAACGGTCTCCCATGAGCTAAGAGAACCGCAGGATATATGACCTCAGCTGCGAGGGATTCAATGGGTTTTGTAGGAACCATGCATCGCTTCAACCATACCATTATTGAGCAGGGACATATCAGAAATAGGGTTCTGAGCCTGATAGTTAAAGCTATCAAACTCAGTAAATAGGGGAATAATGTCCTCTTGGGCTTCATTAACATAATGAGCTGTAGCAGCATCAATCCGAGCCTTAGTATCATCAAGAGAACTTGAGACTAAATGGGTCACCTAAGCATTCTTTTGATTCAAGTTCTGGAATAAGTACTCAGCCTAGGACACTTGTTTAATATCGCCCCCATGTAGCCCCGTCAGTTGTGCACAAATATGGTAATGACACATCACTTCCTAATATGTGGCATAAATAGTCGGATCTGCTGCTTTCAAAAGTTCTTCAAAAGGAAAACTAGAGACTTTGTACATTTCGTGAAGCGCAAAGCTTAGCTCCCCAAAATGTGTGAAAATTGTACAAGTCTCTAAATTATATTTCTCTAGCATACCGAATAGATTGTAGTGGCTTTGCGTGATCCCATATCGTGTAGCCAAAACCAAGGTCACGAGGCTAGAGTTGGTGAGTGGATCTCTCAGCTCCTCCAAGACAAAATTTACCATGCACACCCACCATCCCCCATCTATATAGTGTACCTACGCAGGAGTCCTAAAATCCTATGCGGGGAATTCTTCTTTAGCTGCGGTAAAATGTCTGATGAAATTATTTGCTAGATAAGCAGTCTTACCAGTCGGATACTCAGAGCAGAAGAGATCGGGTTTTAAGGCCATCAGCTACCGGACATAACCTGTTGGACGAACGCCTTGATGAGTAAAGTGTCCAATCGGGGGCGCGTCTTATTCTATGACGAGATCCCACTGCATGTGCCGAGGGATGGAAGCATACTAGAAGTACGACAAAGGGTACATCTGCTCCATGTTAGGTAAGAAGAGGGTGCGATCCCTAACTTTCCTCAACCACTTGTAATTCCCATCATACATAAGCTCGACGTTAATTTCGACCTCATCCTCGAATAGGAGCGTTGGCTTCTTGAATTTCTGTCGGTCTATGGTCTCAAGCTTAACATCTATGACCAAGGCCCTTAGAGTTGTAGAAATTCCCCGAGTTATAGTCCCAGTCCGCTCTTTGTTTTGATCCCAAAAAACAGGAAACCCCTAGCATAGACTAAATGTTACATTGACGTTCGCCCCTCCCTCGTTACCAAAATGGTGATGGAATGTAAGAGGCTCACTGGAATAGCATACTACAAAAAGAAAAGACAATGATTAGTGTCTAAAAAACATCTAAACAAAATTTAATTGATAACGCAAAGGTCAGCCCTGCGTTTCAAGTTCAAAACACGAGGGTTAGCCTCGCGTTTCAAAGTCAAAATGAGGAGGTCAGCTCCGCGTTTCATTTTCAAAACATGAGAGTCGACCCCCGCATTTTAGTTTCAAAATGTGAAGGTCAGCATCACGTTTTACATTCAAAACGCGAGGGTCGACTCCCACATCTTAAAGGCAAAACGCGAGCCGCGCTCATCATTTCAAATGCTTTGTGTTGAGAGATGAACTTGTTGAACTAATTATATTTGGTCAAAAACTTACCACTGATAAGGGGGGCCTGCAGTGGTGGTTCGGCTGAGTGAACAATATCACCACCTGCAGCCTTAGCCGGCGGCACGTTTGAAGAGGCCCCATTGGCCTTTTTGGATTTTGAAGCAATTCTCTTTGGTTCCTTATCATCAATGATGAATAGTGAAAATTCACCGGAGTTTGAAACGAGATCTCTCGTTGATGAAGAAAGAGAGTCGATTGACTCTTGATTTGAACCTAGAGTCTATTTATAGACAGTTGGGCTGTCAAATCAATGTAGGATTCCAAGAATCCTGCCTAAAATGCGAGCCTCACATTTGCAAAGTTGATTCAACTTCATACAAAATGCGAAGTTCACCCCTGGGTTCTAAAGGCAAAACACGAGGATCACCCCCGCGTTTCAAATCAACAAAACATTGGGTTCACACCTGCATTTCAAAACAAAACGTTAGGTTTACCCTCGCGTTTCAATACAAAACACAAAGTTCACCTCCGCATTTCAAAGCACAAAATGCGAGGATCCACCCCCGCATTTCAGAAGCGGAACCATAGTGTTGACTCTCACACGAGTCTCGCGTGACAAACTCCTTCAACCAAGTTATTGATGCCTTTGAAGTGAATGTAAGGAACAACTCCTTTATGACAAGGAACCAACAATTTCAAGATCAATTTCAAATCCAAAATATTTCAAAATTTCATTCCAGTCAATCGCAAACTTTCAAAAACATTGGAGGGGGTTCTGTAGGCTGTCTAAAAATTATTGCGGATAGTTGATACTTACGAAACACTGATGTTGGAAGTTAGAATGTGACGACTTTCACGTCAACCGACAAAAGTTACAATCTGATGACTTTTACATCAGCAAACGAGAGTTACAATTTGATGACTCTCATTTTTTTATGAGCCAAATGTAAGGATTACAAGATGATAATCCTTGCAATGCTCTAACAAAAGAGGTTACAAATTGATGATCTCTTCAAACTAAAAGGTGAGGGTTATCCCCGCATCTCAATCTCAAACGCGGAGCACACCTCTATGTCCCAACTGCCAAACACGGGGCTCACCCCTGTGTTCCAAGCTTCAAATGTGAATCTCAGCCCCGCGTTTCATAGGTTAAATGCGAGGGTCGCTTCCAGAATGCGAACCTCGCGTTTGGTCGATTCAAACACGTTTTAAACAGTTCCAAAATATTTTGAACTTAATGAGGGCATTAAACCCTCATTATGAAGCGATTTAAGGGGTTAGTTACACCCCTTAAACCCTATAAATAGCTGTGTTTACAGCTGAAAAAAGGGTTAACTTGGTTGGAGCTTGGTTAAGGCTTTTGGAGAGCTTTTGCCTTGGCTTTTAAACCGTGTTTTGGTAGAAGAAAAGTGAGATTAGTTATTCTCTGATTTTAGCCAAAAAAGGATCAAATATCCTTTCTAAAATTAACTCTTTTAAAGAGTTCTTAAACTCGTTTAGAGTTCTAAACTTGCCTCATAAGTTTTTCCTGACGTTAAGTCAAGAGTATACAACGTTTCATGAAGCAAAGTGTTCGGATCATCACGAGATACAAGATTCAAACTCCCATCGCTACGAAGAAGAACCTAAATTTAAACAAAGAGAAGGATCTTCGTCGATTCCTTCTCTCTTTTGTAAATCGAGAAACCGATAAGAAGAGTTGTAATTTCTTTTTCTAAGTCAGTTAGAGAGAGATTGCAAAGAGGGCTTGTATTCATTCTTTTTCTAAGTCAGTTTGGGAGATAAATACAAAGTGTATTTCTCAAATTTTCTGCTATTTTTTCCCGCAAACAATATTGTACCTTTATTGGTGGCAACTTGGTAACTTGGAGAAGCAAAAAAAAAAAGTGTGTGGTGGCTTGTTTAAGTGCCGAGGCCGAGTATCGGGCCATGGCACAAGGGGTATGTGAGGTGTTTTTTGGATCAAGCAACTTCTCTTGAAGCTACATCTCTTCCAGCATGCTTATCTTTTACTATTCTGTGACAACAAAGCTGTCATTAATATTGGCAATAACCCAATTCAGCATGATCACACGAAGCACATTCAATTAGACCAGCACTTCATCAACAGCGTGCTAACATACTCACCAAGGGTCTCAGTGCTTCAGTTTTTTTTTTTTTGCACAGGGACAAGATGGGGCTTGGTGACATATTTACCCAATCTTGAGGGGAAGTATTGTGATCCTTGATTCTCTCCTTTGACTAATTCCCTTAATTTCCTCTATCTAGATTCATTCTTTTCTCTTATATCATTTCTTAAGTAAGTACAAATCTAGACCCACTTTTTCCTCTTCTTGCCATTCCTAAGGCTTGTACAAGTTCTATATTAAGTGTAGAATATGTGAATGAAAGACAACCGAGATAAATAATTCTATTTCTTTCATCATCTCTCTCCCCTTCTTCTCCTCTTTAAAATTACATTAATAGGAGATCAGAGGGAGCATGGTCTTGTGGTTATACAATAAAAATTAAGATGAAAAATAAATGATTTAATAGAAGATTAGAAGTTCCTCCTATCGAAAAAAAAATCTTTAAAGAGTTGATGTGATGATTTGGTAATGAAAATGGATTCCACTGAATATCGATTAGAAGAAAAAAGCAAGACTATAGTTAACAGGGGCAAAAGAGGAATATACTTAAAGACAAACGAACTTGTGTTGAACAAATTAAAAATGATACCATAGTAGTTTAACAGAGAAGATGATCTCTGAGAATATAACTCATGTACGTAGCAGATCTAAATATTTTAGGGTAAATACTTTGATGTTGCTATAAAGATTATGCTAAATTCGTTGTGCTGAGAAAAAAAAACAAAAGTTTATCACAATCCTGACACAGGGAAAGGATTGGAATTGTGAAGAAATCCGATTAACTGAAGATAATTAAACTATATTGGTCATAATTACAAGATCAAACTACATGGCACTCTCTAACAATCTCCTAAACTCAAAGCAGCTAATCCTCCCATCACCATCCTTATCAAACACACTCACCATCCTCACACAATCCTCCACCCTCACCCCTTCCCTCATCCCCAATCTCCTCATCACGCTCCACACCTCCTCTGCCGTTATAAACCCGTCCTCGTTACGATCAAACACGTAAAATGCCTCCTTTATCTCCTCCAAGTTGGCCTCCTTCTCCTCCAGCATCTCATCCAACTCTTCTCTCCATCTCTCTTCCTCTAACAACTCTCCCATCCCTAGTCTCTTTATAACAATATTTACATCTTCAATACTTAGCTCTCTTTCACAATGCACGGATGGTGCTTCATCCTCTTCATCGTCGCATTCGTCGTCATGAATGATATATCGCAAGATAGATGAGAGGAAGCAAGTGAAGATGGAGTAGAAGTGGAGAAGGTCTTTGAAGACATTGGTTATGCTAGAATAGATTAGGGAGTTGACTATGTACAAGGTGAGGGTTGCGCCTTCCATTTCTTTGTGATGAGTAGGAGATGAGTATTTCGCACTATATATAAGGTTGTATGTACAATAAAAGGTCAGAATGTGGTGGAAGGAAAATAGAAATTGGGAGGGAAAGTACTGAGAAGGTTCTTATGTTACTTTCTTATAAGAGAAGTGTACTGCAATTTCTGTGAAGATGTGAAGATACGAAGATATGACGGATGATAAAACATTTATAAAGCCATTATTGCTCGTGTATTACGCTTCTAAGTTCTTTATGGTAAAGTTTAAAGTTTATACGAAGGGCATACACTTAAAATGTTTCTTGCTTGATTAAATTCCTTCACATGGTCTAATTATGAGTTTTAATGCTAAAGTAATTTTTTTCTTATAGCTTTAAATATTATGAGACTTAAATATGGATTTCTCTCATAATATTTTAAAATCTCATCAAGTATACTAAAATTCAAATTTTGTTATAAAGTCTAAAGATGATAATATTTACACTCTAACAAATTTAGATTTCTCTGTGTCCAAGAACTTGGTGCACAAAAATATCCGTATTCGAGAAAATATTCGTACCCGTATCTGTTAGGATACAGATAAAGTTACTAAAATGTATATATGGTTATGTAGTAAAATATCCATATCCGTAACTGAAATATTCGAATATAAAATTGGCAATTGTGTTGTAATAGTTTTAATCCTTGTATTACTGAATTTGAGGTTAATTTTGATGACCATTATATATAATCTTAGCTCTTCAGATATAACAAACATGTTAATAAACTCTCTTTTATCATATGAACTATAATTTTTTTCAAACTTACCTTCTTTTCTCATATTCTTTAGTATCCTCATATATATACGCTTATATATTCACAAGTCTATCTGTATAACATATAAATGGACTCTCTTGTATCATATGAACTATTTTTGTCATATTCGTTTTTGTATCGGTATGTATATTCACTTATATATCCGTATCCCGCATTTGCTTTAGTGGATATGGACATAGATTTTCTGTATTGAGGCAATATCCTTATTTGTATCCATATCCATGATAGATAAGTAGATACGAATATGATGAGTATGATTTCCAAGCCGTATCTGGACTGTATGCAACCATACCAATAACAGATAATAGTGGACACGTGGAAGGCATCCGCGTTGTGTGCTACTGTTGCACAATCTTTATCGTGTACTCCACACTCAACAACAAATACTAGCCCTATCTCTCGAATCTAGAATAATGCCAACATAGAAAGAACTATAGATTAGAGACATGGTTGAATAAAACAAATATCACAGCTATCATTCGGCAGACTAAATTTTTTTCCCCTGCTTCTTCTTCTAGTAAGAAAATTTCTACATACATGTCGGCATTTTGCTTAACTAATTATTAATGTCGACAATGACACTTAGCCGACTTGTTAAGTTCCTCTCAATGTAAACCATGTGTCACTTGTAGTTTAAGTCCTTCTAAAGGTTTGAAAAGAGGACAATAAGAGAGAAATTGCTGGTGTAAACGGCTAATAATATGTTCACTTGCAAACGGGAAGAAACTGCTCAAGAGGGGAGGAAATTGCTTTCAAACGGAGCCAAAGAAAAGCAGGGGAAATTGTGCTTGCTTGGTCATATTTATGCATAATGACTTTTATTCGCGCGTTATATTCTTGTAACTAATGGTGTATTTGGGTTCACAAAACTTATGCTGACACTGCAAGGGAAAAAAATCATTCTAGACGCAAAAGTACTCCGGAATTAGAAAAAGGGACATTGCTTCTGGCCCGCAATTTCCTTACAAGTATTCCGTCCACCCCCTAATACTTTTTCTTGCCTTTCGTCGCTCTCCCAACATCGATTCACCGGTTGAGGACTTCGAAATCCCAAGTTCTCTTCAGGCTCAATTGTCATTTGCTGCCGCTCCACATATTTCAACTCTTTAACTTTCTACTTTTCAGGGCTCATTTCAGTAATTAAGCTAACTTTCCCTTTGTTTAGTAGGTGGCATGACTTCTGATGCTACGGGAGAATGGAGTAGCTTGGTGGGAGCTGCTCGTGCAGGATCACTATCTTCACCCCGACTGCATGTCATTGAGCAAGTGAATTCCCTCGTCGTGGTGGTGATGCCAACAAGGGCGGAAGAGGAGGTGTTGGCTCATGAAAAGACGCCAAGTCAAAAGGAGGAGGTGCTTATTCAATAAAGGGCGTCTATTCCGAAATAAAAGGTACCAATTTAGGGAGAGGTACTGAACCAAGGGGAGGAGGCCTCGACCCAAGAGGAGGAACCGGTTAAAGAAGAGGTGCTAATCCATGAGGCCTCAATTCAGGAGAAGGTGCCAACTCAGAGAGGGGAGGCTTCGACTCAAGAGGAGGCACTGGCTAGGGAAGAGGCTAAGATCCAAGAAGAGGAGTCAGCTCAAGTGGAAGAGTCGGATCGGATGATCATCACCATGAGCATTCAGGCCTATGTTCAGCTTGATGAGGATGTTTCTCTTTCTCCTGCTTCTCATTTTAACCAAAGAATTATGGAGCAGACCATTGAGAATCTCTAGGCTTGCCTCTGTGATAGCGTCCAAATGGTGTTGAACGAAGGCTGCTCTTTCAGCAGTTTTACACCATATTTGGGCATGTATCTAAACAAGCTACGGTTGCAGACACGGCTTCCCCATTCCAAAGACGCTTGGTGGTGGCGGAAAGGGACATCCAGGCGTTGCTCACCATTCATTCCGAGAATTTGGTTATCATGGCCACTGAAAATGCCCCATATATATTGAAGGAATAGGAGCAATACTTGGAAGAGACCATGGCCAAGGAGACCCGGTTGTCAATAGAGGTAGAGCGGGCTACTGCAATAGGCAAGGAGGTGGCCGAGGAGCATTGAAAGACCAGTGCCTTTTTGGTAGATACGGCCCAATCTATATCGAACGTTAAATAGACTATTGCTAAACTATAGGTCTTTCTGGTTACCAAGGAGTCGGCTCACGAACGGGTGCTGAAGGAGCTGACGGAGATCGAGATCTGGTGGCAGCTGACTATCACTGATTTCGAAGAGAAAAGTCAAGCTCTAGAAGCGGTGAGAAATAAGCTTCACTAGGCCGTCTCGCTCATCGAGTAAGACCTTTGCCGACAGATCCTTGGTACCTTAGAGGCAGAGCATAGGAGAGCGATCTAGGATGCAGAGCCACGATTGAAGCGGTTTTGACTTGGTTGGATGTATTTTCTCTCTTTTTTTAGACTTTGTTCGAATGTTTAGTTGTAACTCTGTTTGAACGCGTGGTCAAAACTCTTCTAATGAATGAAATTATGCTTTCGTCATTCGCATGTTACCTTTAATATTTTGTGTGCATATTTCCTGACTTTTGTTGGCTAATTATTTAGGATTTTTAGCAAACCCCCAGCTATCAAAAGGTTTGATTTGCCTTTACGGATCATTTAAATCGGGCTAGTCATAATATTCCCTCAGTATGATGAGTTATCAGAAAGTTTCTTTTAGACTTAATGCTAAAATTTCTTTCCTACCCTTAGTCGTTCGATGTGTCGAGTTAGGTTAATTACAACTGTTAGGTCATAATTAGGTTGGGCTATGTCGTTAAGTGTAACAACTTAGCCCAAAATGACTGATCACTTGCGTGAAAGACCGGGAGAGGGTCCGAAAAACAACTCATCGCTTGGTAGGTCACCATCCGAGAATCGATGAGGCACATTATTTGGTAGGTCGTTATAAAAAACAACTCATTTGTGGGAATAACGGTGTTGGGATAATCAAATCATTCAGGGATGTATGAGTGTGATAATTGATTAATGTAGAAGCCATCGCGTATGGCCGTCTATGCTTCTAACGTACAGAGACATCGAAGCAGCATACCATCGTACTACTTATAATATAGTGCCTTTGTGGTTATGTTGTAGTAGAACCTCAGGGTGTGTTTGTGAACATAGTCTCACTCATTAACATCTTCAGGTAGGTTACCATACAAGACGTAGTAAATGATCGAGAAGTGTCAATCTCTCAGTTCAAGTTGGTCGGTAGCCTGATAAGTTTCATTCAACTCCAGAGCATACTCCGGTTGGTAGAGTTGTCAGCTTGCGACGGTTATGTGTTGGTTTGTTCCCAGTGGCTGGGCTAGGTTAACTGCCAATGACGTTAATGCATCTGCGTGCACGCTCTTCGAACGGAGCATGTGCTCGATGCGGAAGTTGTCAAATAATTCTGCTAGCTTGACGACCACTTGGTGACATGGAATTAAGTCATCATTTCTAACCTCATATTCTTCCGTCATCTATCTGACGATGAGCTGAGAGTCACCGTAGCTTCAAGGTGTTTCAGCCCTAACTCCTTGGCGAAGGTGAGTCCGATGAGTAGTGTATTATACTCAGCCACATTATTAGTACATGGCTCAGTTAGTGAGAAACCTTAGGGTAATGCATAGTTTTGCAGAGAAACCAAGACTACCCCCACACCTGCAATGATAGACCTACTTGTGCCAATGTGAGAAGCGTCGTTGAAGTATAGCCACCAGGCTTCTTCCTGTGAGGTTGCATTGACCTCATGGGTTTTGTCCGGCATATCTTTAAACATGTCAGTCTTCGACTTGAGCGGGTGATTGACCATGAGGTCGTAGATTACTTGTCCTTTGACAGACTTCTATGGCATGAAGTTGATGTCGTATTGAGAGAGCAAGAGTGCCCATCATGCCAGGCGCAAGTTCAAGGACCTAGACTGTGTCATGATGACTCGGATGGGAATCATCCGGGAGATGACATGAATGGTTTGACCGACCAAGTAGTGTCATATTTTCTAGATTACGAACACTAGGGCCAGACTGTGTAACAATATACCCCATGCTTGATCATAAAGCAGAATATATTCATCCTCTTGGACTTCAGTAGGATCGACCGTATCCATGTTGACTGTGAAGTGTTTGAACAGGGTCCTAATGCTGATGTCTGAGTCCCAAGTCAAGGATGTTGATGACTAATCATCTGAACGAGCATCGTTGGATATTCTATCGAAATTGCAATAC